GAAGAAGTAGGTATTATACATACACGAATAGCAAAATTCCTTGTGCTAAATTTTAAAGGAAGCAATACACAGGATTATCTTCAAACAGCTATTTTTATTATCGACCAGGAATCTTAAATTGCCCTATATACCACCGCTTTTTAAAATGTAGTGCTTGATTTAAGATCACTTTCCTCGAATGGTCACAGGAAACGACGTGCCTTCGAGTTGATTAAATATTAAATATGACGGTATAAGCATAGGTAAACTTTAGACACTTTTTTCGTTGACAACCATTAAGCGAAAACTTCTGACTTCTTTCTGAGTGTGTGACTTCATATTAATATCTTTTCCAACCCAAAATCTTACAAAATGGCGCAGTTTGATTGCAAACAACTGAAACATCCGAAGACATTTTTGTGGATTTATAAATGGAAATATATTATCTGAAATCACCCTTCACTTTGATTTCACTTAAAAGGAATTTATATCGGAAGATATAAATACAGAAAAAATCCGAATCCACTTTTATTAAGGGTATTACGCATAGAACTATTGAAAATGTTACTTTGACCGAATTCACGATATTTTGGCTCATTGTCAGTATGCGACAGCAGCCGAAGCTATCGATTTTCCTTAAATTATCCCTTCGGAAACTGTGAAGATTGCAAGTAATCGAGTAGTTTCGAATGATAACGCATATCATTGCGTTTTACTGGCATGGAAATATTCTTAGCCACGGGGGGGATATATTCGTCTAACACGCTATAGTTTTTTGTCGTGTGAACGCGTACGCGCATTATTTTTATTTAAGGGAGATATCGACCGATTCTATGAAAGGACATTGAAACCCGCCGTCACTTCTGGGGTTAACGCAAGGGGTGGTCTGCGTGAAATAGACTGCCTAAATATTTTCTTTCCGCTAAAATCGTCGATAGAATTCGATCGTCCGATCGAAACTTCCGATCGAGCTTTAATTTATCATCTAGATATACATTTTCTACTAACGAACAAGAGGATACGAAACTGATCGTTTTCATTTTCAATGATTACGCGGGAATTCTCCTTAGAAGATAAAGTATCATTTCACTTCAAACGAGGAAACGATTAATTGGAATTACGAACTCGTTTCTCAATTTTCTTCACACTTTTCGTAAATATTAGATATCTGTATATTTACATTGTCAAAAAAGCTTCCTTTTCAAAAGGAACAATGGTGGAATTATAAACTCGTACCGTTTTGGAGATCATTGGGAATCGTACGACGATAATTGATCGAATCGAATGTTTTCCTAACGTTATGTCCATATTCCAATTTAACGATGAAATCTCGGAAAATTCGAAAAGCGGAGTCAATAGATTCGGCCAATGAGCGGCTGATATATTTCGAGGAACATCCGCGGCCCGTTTGCGTACACACGTACAACGTGTACCGACGTGAACACCCGTGAACGCCGCGGATTCGCACGAACCGTCTATTCATTAAGCGACATCCGTTTCTGGGATGCTTAAAGCGATTTTAAAACGTTTCATATAGTCCGTAAACATTAACCCATCGTGACCTAATATCGTTCGGGGGGCGAGGTATAACAGGTACAGACGAAAGAGAGAAAAGGAAAAGGGGAGGAACGAAGAGACGCCGCTATCGCGTGTCCTGAACGCCCCAGAGTTGCTCTGTTTACCACTCAACGCTGTCGTCTAAGCAGGGATGTACATACAGCTATGCCAGGGGATGTGTCCACGGTGGAAATGCGGAAAAACGCATTCATAGTAATTACACCGGTCAGCCGGAATTGATAAAATGAACTCTGTCCTCCCAGGTATCCTAATCGATAACGCAGAAAATGCAGACTCGAGAAAATAGCAGCTTCCTATTAGAAAGCAGGGAACACGTGTGCGTCTATCCGATGGAAAAGTCGAATCAACGTCTGATCGTTGTTGAGATTGTTATTTTAATTTAGAATTCATTTAATTTTAATCCATTTTTATTAGGTACCCGTTTAACGACAGTCGGATAGATAATGGTGACACGAGCAAATGGATGGGGTAGTTACTTACGAGTGATATAAACGAGATCTTAATGACTTTATCTTAGAACGAAACTGATTTGCATACGTCGACTACCGAATACCGAATCATTCCGTGAAATATTCAGCGAAACGATTAAATAAGTACTCGGAATTAGCTGCTGGCTAATAATAGGAGACGAACTGTATATTTAATAAAAATGATTGGGGTAGTCGGAGCCAGCAGGAAGATGTATTAATGCTTCAAGCAAGGGAAAGGGTGGATTTTGTGAAGGAATGTACTTCGGGGGAAACAGTGTAATGGAAACATGTTATTTTTGTAAATGAAAATATATTCAACGTACAGCGTGTCCACGACTGAAGCTGACAATTGTTAACTATGCAGCAACGAAAAATATATAGTTTTATTAAATAGACGAAATCTCGCTGTCCTCTCTTTCGAATGAATCACTTACGAAACGAATTCGGCTTTGTCAACGTTAATTCCTTGTCATCGTGTAATTTTCGGCGATGACAGTTTCCGTGTCTTCCATGCTTTAAGAGATATCCGACTGTTACCTTTAAGCGCAGACACACTGTATATGGAAGCGATGAAAGAGTTAGGGTATGGGGTAAAGCACGTCAACAAGTTCGAAGCACGATAGAAATAAAATGATGGGGGTTGTATTTCGACATAGGCAAATTCAGGATTTATAAAGCGTATTAATAATTTTGAGGAATCACTTCTTATAAACTGTAATAAAATAATAACGTGTATAGTGCAAGAATAATGCTCTGCAGTATTGTGCACCTCTTATCGAGCGTTAAATATGGGTTTCATCCATTTAGAGGATAAATTGAACTAGAAAACACGAATAACATCCACATAAAATATATTAATGTTAATATAAAACATTATGGTTATATCATTTAATTCCAATAATTTTCCTTGTAACAAAATCGTCGATCGATGACAGTATTAATGGTATGAATTAAAATCACGTTATGACATTTTGATACTAATTCGTTGCTATAGAGGACGACTCATAATTCAATGACGGACTATTGTCATATTTATTTGACAAAATTTGTGAAAGATTGCAAACATTATATTTCAGTTAGAAAATTTGTTGATATGCATTTGTTATTCTAATTAAAATTATGATATACAGAAATAGAAATACACGCTTATCGTTTCAACCACAGATTTTTATATCTCCGTGCGAAACTTAACTGGTGGGTCTAAACAAATTTATCTGTAAACCCGTAATCGTTCATATTATTTGTCATCAGCTAATTATAAAATTTGTGTCGTGATACGACAATTTGACTCACTTCCTGTACTGTACAATAATTAAAAGATTTGTTACCATAAATTTCTAAATTTTTATGTATAATTTATTTAACGAGTGTAACAGTCTAGACGAGCTCCAAGGCAGAACTTTTCAACAGAATAATTTAAAAGTGTGGAGACCTCGTAGCAGATCTGTCGATTGCAGTAACATTTTTATTTGATAAAAATTACTTATAGTTTACATAGAATTCCTGAAATCCACACTGAAATCAAGAAGCAACACAACTTCTGCTTAATTTAGTAAGTGAAATAGGTATAATAAAGGACATCCGTAATCGGTGATCAACTTTAAACTGAAATCTTTCATTTCCATCTAATCCGAGTAAAAATATTACTTCCACGGTAAGGTAACATCAGTTCCGTAGACGCGTCATCGTGCTCGTTTCCCATGGTGTTGTTTTATTTATTCAATTATATAATACCCGCAGTCACCTGTGTTCTTGACCGTATCGCGAGCTCCGTACCTCTTGATCAACTTTTAATTCAACATAATCTTATCCGAGCCCAATCGAGACCAAGGATTACTCGAAATTCCCTATTAATCATTCATCCCTCAAAGACACCGAACGAAACGATATCTCGAAATAACATTTCCCACACGTACAACCACATTTCCCCCGTAGTTTCTCACGTTCCACAATCATCACCGATACCATTCGGATCATATTGTAAGCGATTCGCTATAACAGCTCGAAATCATAAGAAAACGAAGGGGGTAAGAGAGGATGGTCGACGAAGAAATACGGAAAAAGAGAGAAGCGGCGCCTAGAGTAGGACGAAC